GTGGGGAAAGAGGTTTTAATGGAGTTACAATGTGGTGTATCTGCCTATTTTTCACTGTGATTTCCCACAGTAGTGCCAGCAGGAGTATCTAGCAGTAGTGGCAGAGAGTTATACTAGACGTAGTGCAGCGGGCAGTATACTAGAAACTGTGGCGAGGTTGCGCTAGTAGGAGGGATATAGACAGCTAGTGCCCGCAGGAGTATTTCTAGGGCAGCTGTGCAGAGAGGTTCTAGACAGTAGTGCCAGCAGGAGTTACTTTGACGCTAGTGCGCAGAGGAGTATTTCTAGACAGCTAGTGCCGCGAGAGTATCTAGACTGTAGTGCCAGCAGAGAGTATACTAGACAGCTAGTGCAGCAGAGGTATACTAGAAGTTGTGCCAGAGGTTTACTAGACAGCTAGTGCAGCAGAGAGTATATAGACAGCTAGTGCCAGCAGAGAGTTTACTGACAGTAGTGCAGCAGAGAGTAACTAGACAGCTAGTGCAGCGAGAGTATACTCAGTGGGAGGAGAGTTTACTAGAAGCTAGTGCCCGCAGAGAGTTATACTGACAGCTATTTTCCCGCAGAGAGTTTACAGAAGCTAGTGCCAGCAGAGAGTATACTAGACAGCTAGTGCCAGCAGAGAGTTACTAGACAGCTAGTGCCAGCAGGAGTATACTAGACAGCTAGTGCCAGCGAGATAACTAGACGCTAGTGCCAGCAGAGAGTATACTAGACAGCTAGTGCCAGCAGAAGTATACTAGACAGCTAGTGCCGCAGAGAGTATACTAGACAGCTAGTGCCAGCAGGAAAGCAAGTCCAGGATACTAGACAGCTAGGCCAGCAGGAGTAAATAACGCTAGTGCAGCAGAGAGTATACTAGACAGCTAGTGCCAGCAGAGAGTATACTAGACAGCTAGTGCCAGCAGAGGGGTATACTAGACAGCTAGTGCAGCAGGGGAGTATACTAGACAGCTAGTGCCAGCAGAGAGTTCTAGACAGCTAGTGCCAAGCCCGAGAGTATACTAGACACTAGTGCCCGCGAGAGTATACTAGACAGCTAGTGCCAGCAGAGTATACTAGACAAACGTGCCCGCAGGGTATTAGACAGCTGTGCCAGCAAGAGTATACTAGAAACTAGTGCCAGCAGAAGTATACTAGACAGTAGTGCCAGCGAAGTATACTAGACAGCTAGTGCCAGCAGAGAGTATACTAGACAGCTAGTGGGCCCGCAGAGAGTTTAAGTAAATATACTAGACAGCTTGTGCCAGCAGAGTATATACTAGACAGCTAGTGCCCGCAGAAGTATACTAGACAGCTAGTGCCAGCAGAGATATACTAGACAGCTAGTGCCAGCAGAGAGTATACTAGACAGCTAGTGCCAGCAGAGAGTATACTAGACAGCTAGTGCCAGCAGAGAGTTTTACTAGACAGCTAGTGCCAGCAGAGAGTATACTGACAGCTATGCCAGCAGAGAGTATACTAGACAGCTAGTGCCAGCAGAGAGTATACTAGACAGCTTTGTGCAGCAGAGAGTATACTAGACAGCTAAATGCCAGCAGAGAGTTTACTAGACAGCTAGTGCCAGCGAAGTATACTAGACAGCTAGTGCCAGCAGAGAGTATACTAGACAGCTAGTGCCAGCAGAGAGTTTTTACTAGACAGCTAGTGCAGCAGAGAGTATACTAGACAGCTAGTGCAGCAGAGAGTATACTAGACAGCTAGTGCCAGCAGAGAGTATACTAGACAGCTAGTGCCAGCAGAGAGTATACTAGACAAACTAGTTTCCAGCAGAGAGTATACTAGACAGCTAGTGCCAGCAGAGAGTATACTAGACAGTGCAGCAGAGAGTTACTAGACAGCTAGTGCCAGCAGAGAGTATACTAGAACAGTGCCAGCAGAGAGTATACTAGACAGCTGTGCCAGCAGAGAGTATACTAGACAGCTAGTGCCAGCAGAGAGTATACTAGACAGTGCCAGCAGAGAGTTACTAGCAGCTGTGACAGAGAGTATACAGACGTGCCAGCAGAGAGTATACTAGACAGCTAGTGCCAGCAGAGAGTATTCTAGACAGTGCCCGCAGAGAGTATACTAGACAGCTAGTGCCAGCAGGGGGTATACTAGACAAATGCCAGCAGAGAGTATACTAGACAGCTAGTGCCCAGCAGACAGTTTTACTAGACAGCTAGTGCCAGCAGAGAGTATACTAGACAGCTAGTGCCAGCAGAGAGTATACTAGACAGTGCCAGCAGGAGTATACTAGCACTAGTGCAGCAGAGGATACTAGACAGTGGCCAGCAGAGAGTATACTAGACAGTGCCAGAGAGAGGGATACTAGACAGCTGTGCCAGCAGAGAGTATACTAGAGTGCCCCAAGGAAAAGGTATACTAGACAGCTAGTGCCAGCAGAGAGTAATTACAGACAGTAGTGCAGCGAAGTAAACTAGACAGTGCCAGCAGAGAGTATTTCTAGACAGCTTAGTGCCCCCCCGCAGAGATATACTAGACAGTCCAGCAAAGTTTCAGACAGTTTTGCCGCAGAATATATAACAGTGCCAGAGAGGGGGTCTGACAGCTAGTGCCACAGAGAGTATACTAGACAGCTAGTGCCAGCAGGAGTTAAATAGACAGCTAGTGCCAGCAGGGGTTTTATAGACAGTGCCCCAGAGAGTTTAAATAGACAGCTGTGCCAGCAGAAGTATACTAGACGCTAGTCCCGCAGAGAGTATACTAGACAGCTGGCCAGCAGAGAGTATACTAGACATGCCCGCAGAGAGTAACTAGACGTAGTGCCCGCAGAAGTATACTGACAGTAGTGCCAGCAGAGAGTATTTCTGAACGTGCCAGCGAGGTATACTAGACGTGCCGCAAGGGGGATATAGAAAAAGTGCCACAGGAAATTAAAACTAGACAGCTAGTGCCCGCGAAGTTATAGACGTGCCAGCAGAGAGTATACTAGACAGCTAGTGCCAGCGAGAAATAAAGCATGCCGCAGAGAGTATACTAGCAGCTAGTGCCCGCAGAGAGTACTAGACAGTGCCAGCAGAGAGTATACTAACGCAGTGCCAGCAGAAGGGATACTAGACAGCTAGTGCCAGCAGAGAGATACTGACACTGTGCAGCGAGGTATATAGACGTAGTGCCAGCAGAGGTATCTAGCAGCTAGGCCAGCAGAAAATTACTAAAAGCTATGCCCGCAGAAAAAGTATTAGACAGCTTGCCAGCAGAGAGTTTTACAGACAGTGTGCCAGCAAGGTTAAAATAGAAGCTATGCCCGCGAGAGTATAACGACGCTAGTGCCAGCAGGAGTATTAGACAGCTAGTGCCACAGAGAGTATACTAGACAGCTAGTGCCAGCAGAGGTATACTAGACAGCTAGTGCCAGCAGAGAGTATACTAGACAGCTAGTGCCATGCAGAGAGTATACTAGACAGCTAGTGCCAGCAGAGAGTATACTAGACAGCTAGTGCCAGCAGAGAGTATACTAGACAGCTAGTGCCAGCAGAGAGTATACTAGACAGCTAGTGCCAGCAGAGAGTATACTAAGACAGCTAGTGCCAGCAGAGAGTATACTAGACAGCTAGTGCCAGCAGAGAGTATACTAGACAGCTAGTGCCAGCAGACAGTATACTAGACAGCTAGTGCCAGCAGAGAGTATACTAGACAGCTAGTGCCAGCAGAGAGTATACTAACACTAGTGCCAGCAGAGAGTATACTAGACAGCTAGTGCCAGCAGAGAGTATACTAGACAGCTAGTGCCAGCAGAGAGTATACTAGACAGCTAGTGCCAGCAGAGAGTATACTAGACAGCTAGTGCCAGCAGAGAGTATACTAGACAGCTAGTGCCAGCAGAGAGTATACTAGACAGCTAGTGCCAGCAGAGAGTATACTAGACAGCTAGTGCCAGCAGAGAGTATACTAGACAGCTAGTGCCAGCAGAGAGTATACTAGACAGCTAGTGCCAGCAGAGAGTATACTAGACAGCTAGTGCCAGCAGAGAGTATACTAGACAGCTAGTGCCAGCAGAGAGTATACTAGACAGCTAGTGCCAGCAGAGAGTATACTAGCACAGTGCCAGCAGAGAGTATACTAAAACAGCTAGTGCCAGCAGAGAGTATACTAGACAGCTAGTGCCAGCAGAGAGTATACTAGACAGCTAGTGCCAGCAGAGAGTATACTAGACAGTGCCAGCAGAGAGTATACTAGACAGCTAGTGCCAGCAGAGAGTATACTAGACAGCTAGTGCCAGCAGAGAGTATACTAGACAGCTAGTGCCAGCAGAGAGTATACTAGACAGCTAGTGCCAGCAGAGAGTATACTAGACAGCTAGTGCCAGCAGAGAGTATACTAGACAGCTAGTGCCAGCAGAGAGTATACTAGACAGCTAGTGCCAGCAGAGAGTATACTAGACAGCTAGTGCCAGCAGAGAGTATACTAGACAGCTAGTGCCAGCAGAGTATACTAGACAGCTAGTGCCAGCAGAGAGTATACTAGACAGCTAGTGCCAGCAGAGACAATACTAGACAGGTAATAGCAAGGAAGACACCCACATGGTAGGTAGACTGAACGAGGGAGACTCAGGCAAACTCTCTAACGCGGTTTCAAGGAAGGTATTACCAAGTCACATCCATCTCTCAACAATTGTTGACAGGCGTATTATTAAGCTGACAAATGTAATTCACAGAGATATGTGTAAGGAATGTAAATTGAGGCCGGAAACTGTTTAAAAGCTTAGAAAGACACAAGAATGTGTAAATATTAATGTAGATTATATATCTGTTTATAAATGTAGATTTAACAGCTGTTTATGAATGTAGATTATATACCTACATACTTGTACCTCAAACAGGGTGGATAGGGTGAAGAAGTTGAATTACACGTAATGAAAGGAATGGTAGCTAAATTCGCCTTCCTCAGATCAAACTTGATTTCCTGCCATTCCCCAGGTGTCATATGGCATCCACGTATTTAGAGTCCCCTCCCCCCGTGAATAAGATAATCAGCAGGTGTTGTTCCCCCAGGGAGATGGCAGCTAGGGATGCCAACGAGGAAGATAACGCTGCCAGGAGCGAGGATGTTTGTTGCGGCAGGAGGGAGAGTGCACCTCGTCTAGAGACCCTGGCTGAGGTGTTGCTGCTGAAGATGCTGAAGGTTGCCACCAGGAGGAGGTCCTGGCACTCAGACAGGACGGCACTCTCTCACATAGTGTACACACATGTGCCTCACACAGTGCGACAGCGCCTGCAGGTGTGTGTGTGTGTGTGTGTGTTTGTGTGTACTCAAGTAATTGTACTCACCTAATTGTGATTGCAGGGGTCGAGACTCAGCTCCTGGCCCCGCCTCTTCACCGAGTGCTATTAGGTCCTCTCTCTCCCTGCTCCATGAGCTTTATCTTACCTCATCTTAAAGCTGTGTATGGTTTCTGCCTCCACTACCTCACTTGATAGGCTATTTCACTTCCTGACTACTCTATGACTGAAAAAGTATTTCCTAACATCCCTTTGACTCATCTGGGTCTTCAACTTCCAATTGTGACCCCTTGTTTCTGTGTTCCATCTCTGGAACATCCTGTCTCTGTCCACCGTATCTATTCCACGCAGTATTTTGTATGTCGTTATTATGTCATGTGTGTGTGTGAGTGTGTACTCACCTAATTGTACTCGCATAATTATGGTTGCAGGGGTCGAGACTCAGCTCCTGGCTCCGCCTCTTCACTGATCGCTACTAGGTCCTCTCTCTCTCTGCTTCCTGAGCTTTGTCATACCTCGTCTTAAAGCTATGTATGGTTCCTGCCTCTACTACGTCACTTGCTAGGCTATTTCACTTCCTGACGACTCTATGACTGAAGAAATACTTCCTAACATCCCTGTGACTCGTCTGAGTCTTCAGCTTCCAATTGTGACCCCTTGTTTCTGTGTCTCATCTCTGGAACATCCTGTCTCTGTCCACCGTATCTATTCCACGCAGTATTTTGTATGTCGTTATTATATCTCCCCTGACCCTTCTATCCTCCAGTGTGTGTATGAAAGAGTGAGAAATTACCTGTATATGGACAAAGGAATATTCATGTCTCGTTCACGCCTCCTCTGTCTCTACCCCTACTGTTTTAACACTAGTACCTCCCCCTTCTTCTTTACCTCCTGCTGTTTTAACACTAGTACCTTCCCCTTCTTCTCTACCCCCTACTGTTTTAACACTAGTACCTCCCCTTCTTCTCTACCCCCTATTGTTTTAACACTAGTACCTCCCCTTCTTCTCTACCCCTACTGTTTTAACACTAGTACCTCCCCTTCTTCTCTACCCCCTACTGTTTTAACACTAGTACCCCTCCCTTCTTCTCTACCCCATACTGTTTTAACACTAGTACTTCCCCTTCTTCTCTACCCCCTACTGTTTTAACACTAGTACCTTCCCTTCTTCTCTACCCCCTACTGTTTTAACACTAGTACCTCCCCTTCTTCTCTACCTCCTACTGTTTTTAACAATATACCTCCCCTTCTTCTCTACCCCCTACTGTTTTAACACTAGTACCTCCCCTTCTTCTCTACCCCTACTGTTTTAACACTAGTACCTCCCCTTCTTCTCTACCCCCTACTGTTTTAACACTAGTACCTCTCCCTTCTTCTCTACCCCATACAGTTTTAACACTAGTACCTCCCCTTCTTCTCTACCCCCTACTGTTTTAACACTAGTACCTCCCCTTCTTCTCTAACCCCGTACTGTTTTAAACACTAGTACCTCCCCTTCTTCTCTACCTCCTACTGTTTTAACAATAGTACCTCCCCCTTCTTCTCTACCCCCTACTGTTTTAACACTAGTACCTCCTCTTCTTCTCTACCCCCTACTGTTTTAACATTAGTACCTCCCCTTCTTCTCTACCCCCTACTGTTTTAACACTAGTACTTCCCCCTTCTTCTCTACCCCCTACTGTTTTAACACTAGTACCTCCCTTTCTTCTCTACCCCTACTGTTTATTAACACTAGTACCTCCCCCTTCTTCTCTACCCCCTAGTGTTTTAACACTAGTACCCCCCTTCTTCTCTACCCCCTACTGTTTTAAACACTAGTACCTCCCCTTCTTCTCTACCCCCTACTGTTTTTAACACTAGTACCTCCCCTTCTTCTCTACCTTCTACTGTTTTAACACTAGTACCTCCCCCTTCTTCTCTACCCCCTACTGTTTTAACACTAGTACCTCCCTTTCTTCTCTACCTCTTGCTGTCCCCACCTCTGATCTCTCTCTCTCACTCTCTCTCTCTCTCTCTCTCTCACCCTCCCCTGTTGCCTTTACACTATTCCTCCACCTTGCCATCTGCTTCCCTTGCACTAGTTACAATAACTGTTTAGCGCTTGGAGAACAATGTAGGATTAATGTGTAAGAATATAAAGAACAGTGTGGGAATAAAGAACAATATAATATTGTGAGGAATGTTGACGAGTGGGAAGGTTGTTGATGCCACTGTTGTTGTTTCTTCAAATAATTGAGCCACCTCGTCTAGTGGCACTGTTTGTCACTTTGTTTTTTGGGCACCGTTGTTACTTTGTTTTGTGTACCTTCCTTGTGAGTTTTATGTCCCAATTGTTAATCTAAATTTATATTTAGCAACAGATAATTTCGTTTCCCTACGTGTTAAGAGCACAAAGAAATTGCAATACGTCTGCTAGCCCATGCAAGGCGAGTGCTATTTATAAAGATATTTTGGGGTGTAGAGTCTGTATGCTCTAGAAAAAGAAGCATAAACTGGGGCAGATCTAAATAGAGATTAATCTTAAGTGGTGCACCACATGGCTCTTCTTGGGACCTTCATTATTCGTAATATACATTAATATCATGGTACAGCTGTTTGCAGCCAGATATAGGGAGGGTTAAATTGAACGATTCAGAATGGAACTTAACTACTTTCCCAGAGATAAACACATTTTTTAAGCACACGAGGTGTATGTATCCTGTGCATATACACCGTTTATTTGTGTATATATATACACACTGAGACCGAACACCTTCCATCAAATCTGAGGGACTGATCACCTCAAAATGACCTCTCCACTTTTACTGTCTCCAGGGTTATAAGCGTCTCTACTCGACTGAAGAAGCCTGCTGGGCAGGCGAAACAGTGACGAGTAAAAATGCGCACTGAAAATCATGTCTTAAAAAAAACGATTCATTTCTTTTTTCCTTTCAACATCTTATGGTTAAGTTCCCTTCCCCTCCCCCCTCCTCCTTCCCCTCCCCCTCCTCCTTCCCCCTCCCCCTCCTCCTTCCCCTCCCCCTCCTCCTTCCCCTCCCCCCTCCTCCTTCCCCTACAAGTTGAAATTATTATTATTATTAAAGATTCGCCGGTATTCTCCCGGCCCGGGCCTTTTCCAAGTGGTGGCCCGGCCTTGGCTCCCTCTTTAGGGAGTGTCTGAGACCTAAGTCTCCCATGGGAGGAGGCACAAGTACCTCCTCATCTTTGGGACCAACTGTCCCCAGGCCTAGCCACAAGCTAGGCCTCTCTGGTCTGCCATCCCCGCCCCAAGGGGGCTAATGGGAATGACAGTCTTATGAGCTAAAAGCTCGGGCTCAGGCACCTACCCTACCCTAGAAGGGCTGGGCATGGTGTCGATGCTGACAAGTTGAAATCTTGATTACCGAGATGTGTATATCTCTGTGTATATATATGCACTGACCGAGTCATTTATTCCCTTTCTAAGAGGTTAAAACATTACTGATTGTTAGTTTACTTAGTGACACACCAGCACTCGATAATTTTAAAATAAGGCAACGAATGTTTCAATCCAATAATCCCGATATTATTAAATCTGAAGGTGACTGATCGATACTAGATTACATTTCTGAGTTACGGGTGTAAAAAGGATGTTTTTCAAGCAATTATATGATTAGAACCAGCTGATAAGAGGCTTAGGAAGCAGAATTCCTGACGTTGCTTGTTGTGATGACGGGTGCGTGCCTAGAATCTAGTCAAGGAGGGTTTCATTGTTGGAAAACAATGTGTGTGAAAAACAGCACAAATATCATGGTGTGTTGGAGGAACGGGAGGCAAATATTACTGTGTTGCAGGAGCTGGAGGCAAATATTATTGTGTTGCAGGAGCGGGAAACATGTCATTGTGTGTTGCAGGAGCGGGAAACATGTTATTGTGTGTTGCAGGAGCGGGAAACATGTTTTTGTGCGTTGCAGGAGCGGGTCCTGCAGGATTGGCGGGTGTACGACACAGTGAGCTTGAGGATGCTGCATCTGCTCTTCTCCTGCACAACCACCTCCCTCCGCCTGGTCCACGTCAGGACCTTCTACCGTGACGACCTAATCGTTCTCCTTCCACGACTCACTGGCATCAAAGAACTTTGCTTTCAGGTGTGTATGGTCCATTTGGTAGTTTGTTCAGGTGCGCGTGTGTGTGTGCATGCGTGTACGTACCTAACCACGGTACGGGCGGGGATTGAACTCGCGGTGAGTGAGTCGTAAAACTCCACATCGACTCGTTAGCCACAGTGGCTAACGGTACGGTCTGGAGTTTCCCCGCCCGTACCGTGGCTTGTTTACAATCGTGTCAATACGATTTAGTGAGTCGTGTATGCACCTATTTATGGTTGCAAGGGACGAGTCTCAGCTCCTGGCTCTGCCTCTTAATTTGGCACTTGTGTTTACTCCATTTTAGCCTCATAGAAGCTGTCATACCTATCATTAAAACTGTGGAGCTTGCTTCCACTACTGCTTCGTCTTGACAGTTAACTTTCTGATCACTCTCAGGCTGAGGAAATACTTCCTGACATCCCTGTGACTCATCTGTGTCTTTAAATCCCAACTGTGCCTACGTATACCTGTTTTTCCTCCTCTTGAACAGTTTATCCCTGTCCACCCTAGCAAGACCTCTGAGTATTTTGTATGTTGTTGTCATGTCCTCCCTGACACTTCTGTCTTCTACCACCAGGTTCAGTTCCTTGTAACTCATGTTCTTGGATAAAGCGCGTACCTCTACACTTTTTACAGTTTCTTAACATGCTTTATGAGGTTGGTGCTGCGTTCTTCAGGATGAGTCTGAGATGTGTTGCATACAGGGAAGTGAATGACTATTCCCTTAGATTACTAATCCTAGATTTGCAATTAAAGCAGAGGTTATTCTCTTAATGTGTGTCTCTGGCACAATGCTCACTCCTAGACTTTCTCCTTAAGTGTAGTTTGCAGTTTCTGTTCCCTCCGAATCTACAATATATCTGGTTTCCGGTCTTCTTGGCCCTTTCTCAAATTTCAAAATCTTGTAATTGCTGAAATTTAATTGCAGTAGTCACTAGTCTGAGTAGTTCTGCAGTTTGTCCAAATCCCTTAGTAACCTTTTCTTGACCTCATTGGTTTTTATTCTGCTCTTTAACTTTACATCAACTGCAAGCATAGACACGTTTCGCTATCACTTGTGGCATGTCACACTCACCAGAAACAGTGCTGGTCCAAATACCTAGCCTTGCGGTACCCAATTTGCTACATTTTTCTATTCTAACACCCCCTCTCAACAACCCGTCCTTGTCTCCTGGTGTGTGTGTGTATGTATGTGTGTGTGGGAGGGGGGGGGTGAGGGTGATGGATGAGGACCTTCACTAGTGTGTCTCAGCATGGTGAGTGTAATGATGAGCCTCATAACATGAGCTACATTAAGGCACCGTGTATAACGACACACAACACCGCAACCTTCAAACAACGCCGCAGAGTCGTGCTGGCATTTATTATTTTACTCTGAGCGATCTCTCTTTATGGTCGCTTTACAAAGTATTTACAAAAAAAAAAAATAAATAAAAAGACAGACTCACGGCAAAAATTCTTGATTCTCGGTTTTTTGTAACATGTCTTCAACCGAAATTAAAGTTAGTGAAAATAATAGCTATACCCTTACTAAAATAGACTGGATATCTGTATTATTTGTTTACTATACGTGTGGGCATGTGTATTATCTTTCTATTTATCTATAAATTTTATATTAACCTGCTAAGAGTTGAGAAATGTCCCGTGACATATCTGGTCGACACTCGAGTTCATTACAGGTATTAGTCAACATATCCTGTGTAAATTCTCCCGTGCCATCATTTATTTTAGCACAGAGTGTTTTAATATCATCAGCTGGTATCTGGAAAACACAATCCTTCAGAAATCTCCACATGGAAGTGCGTGAATAGCTGGAGGATTTTATTTTTTATAGGGTACTTGACCCTTATAAGCTCCCAAACGAGACTGGGGAGTATAACGACCCAACTATAACTATGGGTACAAAATGTGTGTGTAATGCTGTAGGTTCTAATCTCCAAACCTAGACATGTCTATAGCCAGCTTATGAGTGCGGGTACCGTTGCAAAATGTTCAGTGGTGTTATATCAGAGGCTATTTGACTTGGCCATCATGTTCAATCTGTCTGCAAGGGAATTTCATGTTGCGATAACTACACTTTCCTATGCATATTCAAACCCTTTAACTATATTGTTGTAATTAATTTCTGAACTCGGAAAAGGTCTTACTGTTTGTCTGCAGGATTCGACGTGGGAGCTGAGCAGACGGCAGCTGGGGCTCACTGCAGACGCTTTATCGAGGATGGTGCACCTGCGAGTGTTGACGCTACAATACTGTGGTCACAACCTACTGCTGGCTACCGTCGGTGCTCACTGTCCACATCTTCAGGTAGGTCTTCCTCACTGCTCGTTCTTCAGTAGGTCTTCCATCAGTCTATATAGCAGTGTTCCATAGTCAATATCTCACCCCCTGGTAGTCACTGTATTCTAGTCAAGTAGTCATCTTCCTTAAATGTCTCTTTAGGAGTCCTAAGTACTCAAATACCAGTACAAGATGGTTGCTAACTCTTAACGGGATATCGTCTGTTCCCTAGTTCTTTTGGCTGTTCCCTAGTTCTTCTGGCTGTTTTCCAGCTCTTCTGGCTGTCCCTAGCTTTACTGTCTTCCAGAAGTACTTCCGGATTTCGCTGGTTCTTTTTGCTGCCCTAAGTTGTATTGACTTTCTCTAATTCTTCTTATTCTTTCGAGTACAATTGATCCAACAGGTGTTTGCAACACATATTACTAATAAAAGAATCACAATAAGCTCAGGAATTGAAACAAAAGATGGTTTAATAGGCAAATATATAAAGCAGAAAGCGATGGGAGGGGGCCGTCTAGTGATCTAGTTTTCTGTTATATCTGTCAGCCAAACTAATTTGTAAAGATATTGAAGGATCTGCAGGAAATATGGTAGCCAACTGAGAGGTTCGCACCTCCAATATTATTTACTTAGGGGTAAAAAAAATTTGCTACTGCCCATGAATGTGCTATGGAGTACCAGATAACAAAACATAAGAAAATACCGATCTCTTTTGCAGGTGCTGGATGTACGAGGCTCTCAGGCCGTGGATGACGATGGCATGTGGGGTTTAGTGACAGTCAACCACGCCTTCTACGCCTATTTGGCACGGCATGCTCTCTCACATTCCTCCGTGCCACAAACTCACAAGCCCAGCCTCAGCATAAGCAGTTGCTGGCTCCTTGCCTTCAAGAGCCTCACTTCTAAGATGATGATGAAAATGACAGTCAAGAAAACTCAGTCCACTCAGGTGAGAAGATGAAATAGGCTGTACCCCGAGAGTGCAAGATTCAGTTTTATATGAAAGACCTGATCGATACAGTAGTTATTAGCTGTAGTTGTACAGCTACCCAAATGAGAAATTAGGTAAATAAAGACGTTATGTTGACAGGAAGGCAAGCATGGATTAGGCGTCACGAAATTGTTTTTCTTTTCCCGTAGGTAAATAATTCTGGCGATGCGAAGGGGGTTGGAGACGAGACTTGCAGAAATGTTGGAGCGCTAACGAGCGAGAGAGAAAGAGTGGACCAGGAGGACATATCCTGGAGCCAATGTTGTTCCTCTCTCGTCTTTCTTGATATCCGCTGCACCGGTGTTACCCCAGCAGGAGTGACCATACTTGCCCAGGCACTGCCCGCCCACACCAGCCTGGCCCACGACGCTCATACCCTCAACACACACGCCCCCATCATCAGCACACATGCCCATACTTCGAGCACATACGCCCACAACTACCCCCAGTCTGTCCCTGGCATTGTGCCTTTGTCACGAGCGCCTCTACTGGCGTAGCATCCTGCCGTCTGGACTTAATGAAGTACACCCACCATCTTGTTTGCAATAACTACCTCCCACGCCCACACCATGCTCACATCACACCCTCACCATGCTCACATCACACCCACACCACGCCCACACTTACAAGGTAGCTGGGACTGCCTTGAATGTACGTTCTTAAATACTCAGGGTCCTGGTTCTTCTGGCACTGGTCCAGTACTGTGGTGATACTCAGAGTACAAATCCTTATGTACTTTTTCGTCCAGCTGACCGTTCACTTTTACCCAACAGGAGCTGCACCTCATATCTGTATGAATTAAAGACTTTAGAAAAACGTTAATTTCACGATGTATACTACGTGATTTAACAAATTTTCACAGACTTTAATAAGTAACTTTACAAGATCTAGTCCGAATTAATAGCTAAAAAAAAATAGATAACAGAAAAAAGGTCGTTGTTGGCCTCTAGTCTATTATTTCCCCTCCTACGGGGAAAGTCTCTTGATCCAAGAAATTGGAGGTTCCTTTCCTTGGATAAAATCTGACAGTCTCCCGTTCTCCAGGGCTGTATTACCCAAAAGGGTTTAGCGCTTCCTCGTAACTTTACTAATAATAATAATAATAATAATAATAATAATAATAATACTATTCTTTCTTAGTAAAGATATTCTTTTATTAATGTAGTTTCGTAGTTTAATTCTTAATGTTTATTCTTCCTTATTACTTGTGCTTCCACGTGAACCTAATTTTACTGAGAGTCTTATGAACCCGTTTCCTTGCACCTAGCAGTAGATAGGTACCTGGGTGTATGTCTCCTTCCATTTGCTGTCTCATCTCACCTAGCAGTAGACAGGTGCCTGAGTGGTGTTAGTCAACCGCTGTGGGTGGCATCCTGGGGGAGGACACCACAGGGTAAATCTCCTACTTTATCTGGTTTTTCTGAGTTATCCTGGATACATAATTTCCTCATGAGTTTACCAACACACACACACACACACACACACACACACACACACACACACACACACACACACACACACACACACACACACACACATACACACACACACACACATACACACACACACACACCAACATGTTAAGGACACTACCAGAGTGAGAGGGGAGGATGAACCAGCAAGATTGGACCTTGTGTTCACCCTGGGCAGCTCAGACATTGAGGACATCAAGTATGAGAGTCCCCTAGGAGCTAGCGACCACGTGGTTCTGTGCTTTGAATACATAGTAGAGCTGCAAGTGGAGAGAATAACAGGAGTAGAATGGGAAAAGCCTGACTATAAAAGAGGGGACTACATAGGGTTGAAGAACTTCATGAGGGAGGTCCAGTGGGACAGAGAACTGGCAGGAAAGCCAGTAAATGAAATGATGGAATATGTAGCAACAAAATGCAAGGAGGCAGTGGAAAGGTCTTTCCCCAAGGGCAACAGTAACAACGGGAAGACCAGAACAGCCCCTGGTTTACCCGACGGTGTAAGGAGGCAAAAACAAAGTGCAATAGAGAATGGAAAAAGTACAGAAGGCAGAGAACACACGAAAATAGGGGAGATCAGTCGCAGAGCCAGGAATGAGTACGCACAGGTAAGGAGGAGGCCCAGCGACAGTATGAAATGACATAGCATCGAGAATCAAGACTGACCCGAAACTGTTGTATAGCCACATCAGGAGAAGACAACAGTCAAAGACCAGGTGATCAATTAAGGACAGAAGGTGGAGAACTCACAAGAAATGATCAGGAGGTATGTGAGGAGCTGAACAGGAGATTTAAGGAAGTTTTTACAGTAGAGACGGAAGGGCTGTGGGAAGACAGACAGAAGGGAACATCAAGAGGGAATATACCAACAAGTGTTGGATGACATACGAACAACTGAGGAGGAGGTGAAGAAGCTCTTTAAGTGACCTTGACACCTCAAAGGCGATGGGACCGGGACAACATCTCCCCATGGGTCCTTAGAGAAGGAGCAGAGATGCTGTGTGTGCCTCTAACCACAATCTTCAACACATCCTTGAAACTGGGCAACTACCTGAGAATGGAAGACAGCTAATGTAGTCCCCATATTTAAGAAAGGAAACAGAAACGAGGCACTAAACTACAGACCTGTGTCTCTGACATGTATTGTGTGCAAAGTCATGGAAGAGATTATCAGGAGGAGAGTGGTCGAACACCTGGAAAGGAACAAGATTATAAATGAAAACCAGCATGGGTTCATGGAAGGCAAATCTTGTATCACAAACTCCTGGAGTTTTATGACAAGGTAACAGAAGTAAGACACGAGAGAGAGGGTTTGGGTAGATTGCGTTTTCCTAGACTGCAGGAAGGCCTTTGACACAGTTCCCCACAAGAGATTAGTGCAGAAGCTGGAGGATCAGGCACACATAAAAGGAAGGGCACTGCAATGGATAAGGGAATACCTGACAGGGAGGCAGAAAACGAGTCATGGTACGTGAAGAGGTATCACAGTGGGCGCCTGTTACGAGCGGGGTCCCACAGGGGTCAGTTCTAGGACCAGTGCTATTTTTGATATATGTGAACGACATGATGGAAGGAATAGACTCTGAAGTGTCCCTGTTCGCAGATGACGTGAAGTTGATGAGAAGAATTAAATCGGACGAGGATGAGGCAGGACTGCAAAAGAGACCTGGAGAGGCTGGACATGTGGTCCATTTAACTGGCTCCTCGAATCAATCCAGCCAAATGCAAAGTCATGAAGATTGGGAGGGGCCAAAGAAGACCGCAGACAGAATATAGGCTAGGTGGCCCAAAGACTACAGACCCACTCAGGGAGAAAGCCCTTGGGGGACCATAACACCGAGTACATCACCGGAGGCACACATCAACCAAATAACCGCTGCAGCATACGGGCCCCTGGCAAACCTGAGAATAGCGTTCCGATACCTCAATAAGGAATCGTTCAAGACACTGTACACTGTGTATGTTTAGGCCCATACTGGAGTATGCAGCACCAGTCTGGAACCCACACCTGGTCAAGCACGTCAAGAAGTTAGAGAAAGTACAAAGGTTTGCAACAAGGCTAGTCCCAGAGCTCAAGGGAATGTCGTACGAGGAAAGGTTAAGGGAAATCGGACTGACGACACTGGAGGACAGAAGGGTCAGGGGAGACATGATAACGACATACAAGATACTGCGGGGAATAGACAAGGGGGACAGAGATAGGAATGTTCCAGAGAGGGGCCCACAGGGACAAGGGGCTCAAACTGGAAGCTGAAGACTCAGACGAGTCAAGGGACTTAGGAAGTATTTCTTCAGTCATAGAGTTGTCAGCAAGTGAATAGCCTAGCAAGTGAGTAGTGGAGGCAGGAACCTACATAGTTTTAAGAAGAGGTATGACAAAGCTCAGGAAGAGAGAGAGAGAGGATCCAGTAGCGATCAGTGAAGAGGCGGGGCCAGGAGCTGAGTCTCGAACCCCTGCAACCACAATTAGGTGAGTACACACACACACACACACACACACCACACACACACACACATACAACACACACCACACACACACCATACACACTCACACACACACATACACACACACAAACACACACACACACACACACCACACACACACACACACACACACACACACACACACAAACCACACACACACAACACACACACACACACACACACACACACAAGAAATAACTAACACATGCACTCACAGATACACTCTCATTCTTTCTCTCTCTCTCTCTCTCTCTCTCTCTCTCTCTCTCTCTCTCTCTCTCTCTCTCTCTCTCTAACTCTATCTCTCTCTCGCATTATTTCGAACGATTAATTTTAATTGGGCTTCCATTTTTTCCATTTTTAGTCGTTTTCTGGTGCTAATGGTCGTTTTTTGGTGTTATTGGTCGTTCTTTGGTACTAATGGACGTTCAGTGCTGCAAATGGCCGTTGATTAATGTTAAAGGTCTTTCAGTGGTACTAATGGTCATTCAGTGGTGCTAAAAATGGTTCATAACTCTCACCCATTAAAAAAATCGTCACGCCAACTATACAATCAATATATAAAACATTAACGTAAAACATTGTTAAGTTTCAAGGTATCGTAGCAGCACAGCGTATGACACAGTATGTTAGTATATCGCAGTATGCCATGTTAGCATGCTATATTGTGCTGCAATATGTTGCACGGTGTGCAATGATTGTGTATGTTATTTTGTGAATCATTTGTGCACTCATGCAATAAAATATTTTTATAAATTAAATTTTATTAACCATTCTATTTGTGAGTATATATATATATATATATATATATATATATATATATATTTATATATATTTATATATATATATATATTTATATATATATATATATATATATATATATATATATATATATATATATAATTTCCCAGGGACAGAGCCGGTGCCAGGAAGAGATATCTGAGTGAGTCAGTAAGAGATATAGATGGCTGACGCACACCCACACATTATCTACTTTGCAGCTGATATGGACCTTCTGGTATTTACACCTCTGTGATTTCAAGGTCATGTAGACTCGGTTTGAACAGTGTTCTCATGAACAAGGAAGTTACTTGTCCATGAAGGCCAGGTTCTCTAAACAGGTATTGCTAGCCAGACAGAGAGAGAACCAGAGAACATATGTATCGGTACTGGTCTCAGAACCGGAGTCATTACTGGAGTACCTGAAGATTGCTTCAGGAGGTCTCCCGTAGGTACGGGATTCGGTACCCTATTCGATGCTCTATAACGAACGCTTCCTGAGGGTCGCAAATTTTTAAGCACCTCCCTTGGGAACCCCAGAAAATAATCAGATGTATTTACCACCTAGATATCTTAAAAACCACTTTCCTCAAGTCACTCATATCTAGCACGCTCATACAAGCTTGTTTGATGTCCAAGCCCCTAGTACTCAAAACCTTCTTTACTCCGTCCTTACAACTTTTCCTAGGTCGACCCCCGACTCCCCCTTCCCTTCACTCAGATTTATACTCCCTGTCTGTCATTCCACTTTGCTCCATTCTCCCTAAATGTACAGACCACCTCAGCAAACCCCTCCTCAGCCTTCCTCAGTCCTCAAAACTCCAAACATTTACTATTTAGTCATATTATTCGCCTTCTACTTTAGTTATATGAATCACTCCAAGTTTTGGTTACCTAATCATTCCGTTTAGCCTTCTTGCTTCATTTATCAAATTATCAATTCCTCCGACCTTCTGCCTTCCACTAATCTCTAGTTATCACGTGACTCACCCAAAACTAACGCCAATATTATGATGCAATGATCGAAGCCCGTGAGAGCGGCAATTCCCGTGGTGTCGAGGGACGACCCTGGGTGTGTCCTCGTGTTCTTCAGGGCCCACTAATCGAAGTGCCCTCGTGTTCTTCAGGGCCCACTAGTCGAAGTGTCCTCGTGTTCTTCAAAGCCCACTAGTCGAAGTGTCCTTGTGTTCTTCGGTAACCGGTAGTCACAGTATCCTTGTGTTCTTGAAGGCATCATCCAGACTCTAACATTTCCCGCACATTATCATTGGCAACTGCGGGGACCGTGCAACCAAAACATTCATCTCACCGAAACCAGAGGAAAAACACAGGCATCATGCGGGCTCTTTCTGTTAAGACCAACTTATCGTACACTAACAAATCATCAGAAGGACCTACAGTGTCCTTATCTCGCAATTCACGTACACATTAATCTCAGTGACTTGGTCCATCACCTGACTATGAAATAACTCCAATTAAGTTCCTAGATGTATGTGCACCGGTGGTAGTGGTAGTGCTGGCTCTGCTGTTGGTAGGTGATTCTGGGTACAGCTCCTGATACTGGTGTTCATGGTGGTATTGCTGTTGCTTGTACTTGATTTGGAAATTATAACAGTACTATTGTTGGTGCTGCCACCTCTTAGGCTGCAGATTGGTATTACTGTTGTCACTGATAATGGTGGCGTGGCTCTGCTATTGTTGTTGGTGCTGCTGATGAAGATTGTACCCCTGTCGACTGTTTCTTGCGCTGTTGTCATTGTTGTTGCTGATGATTCTACAATGCTTTTAGTGCTGCTACTAGTGATGCTGCTGCCTGATTGTTTCTGCCCCAACTGGTTGCAGTGCTTGTTTGATATTATCATTGCCTCTGGTTGTGACGGTGTTGACACGGCTTGTTTGTGATGGTGATGCTAATTCTTGTGGTGTTGCTACTACTGCTGGTTCACGGCATATGACAGAGCCATCAATGAGTATGTTGCACCAGTTACCCGGAGGTTACCTGGAGGTTATTCCGGGGGTCAACGCCCCCGCGGCCCGGTCCATGACCAGGCCTCCCGATGGATCAGGGCCTGATCAACTAGGCTGTTACTGCTGGCCGCACGCAGTCCAACGTACGAGCCACAGCCCGGCTGATCCGGCACTGACTTTAGGTATCTGTCCAGCTCTCTCTTGAAGGCAGCAGGGGTTTATTGGCAATTCCCTAATGCTTGATGGGAGGCTGTTAAACAGTTTTGGGCCCGGACACTTTTTGGTGTTTTCCC